GAATTGCACGCGAGCGGGTGACACAAAAAACGATCAGTCTTATTATTTCTAGTGCTAATTTTCGTTAGTGTTGTTGTTGTCGCTGCTGTTGCTTATGTTGCTGCTGTTGTTGAGCTCTCATTAATGAATGATTATTGTTGATCCCCCCTCCTGAGACATTTTTTTTTGCTCTCCCGGGGCCCGCACGATTTTTTATTTGTATATACATTTGTTTTTTTATGTTTTACCATCAGGGGAAAGCACGGGGCTCAAACTGTGTTGTTGGCCCCCGGATTACAACAACAACAACAACGGCTTCCGTTTGAATTTTTCAGAAATTTAGCCAGGACCCTCGCCTGCCTGAGACTTCCTCGCAACAAAAACGGCTCCCGCCTGAGACGTCCTCGCATTTTACTTAGGAGTCGCGCTCTCGCTTGGGACTTCCTTTCGCTTCAACTTACTAAATCTTCGCGCTTTTCCTTTGGAAATTCCCGCAATTCATTCAAACGCCGCGCTCCAGACACTCAGGCACCCAGGAGTCGCTCACGCTTAGGACTCCCTCACAGATTACTTGGGAATCGGGACCTCGCTTCCTTTCGTGGCCCCGTTGCAGCCCTTCGTGGCCCTCTCGCTGCCCTGCGTGGCCCCCTCGCTGTCTTTCGTGGCCCCTTCGCTGCCCTTTGTGGTCCCGTTGCAGCCCTTCGTGGCCCCGTCGCTGCCCTTCGTGGTCCCGTTGCGCCCCTTCGCGGGCCTCTCGCTGCCCTTCGTGGCCCCGTTGCATCCCTCCGTGGCCCCATCGCTGCCCTTCGTGGCCCCGTTTCAGCTCTTCGTGGCCCCCTCGCTGCCCTCGCTGTCCTTCGTGGCCCCGTTGCAGCCCTTCGCGCCCCCCCGCTGCCCTTCGTGGTCCCGTTGCTCCCTTTCGTGGCCCTCTCGCTCCCCTTCGTGGCCCCGTTGCACCCCTTCGTGGCTCCCTCGCTGCCCTTCGTGGTCCCATATATGTATGCCCTTCGTGGCCCCCGCTTGATCGCGCCCGTCGTGGCCCCATATGCATGCTCTTCGTGGACCCGCTGTCGCCCTTCGTGGCCCGCTCGCTGCCCTTCGTGACCCCGTTGCTGCCCTCAGTGGCCCCGTCCTTGCTGTTTGCGGCCCAATATACGTATGCCCTTCGTGGCCGCCGCTCGTTCGCGCCCGCCGTGGCCCCATATGCATGCCCTTCGTGGCCCCGCTGTCGCTCTTTGTGGCCCCCTCGCTGCCATACGTCGCCCCGTTGCTACCCTCAGTGACCCCGTCGTTGCCCTCAGTGGCCCCGCATTATCTGCCCTTCCTGGCCCCCGCTCGTTCGCGCCCTTCGTGGCCATATACGCATGCCCTTCGTGGACCCGCTGTCGCTCTCGTTCTCGCTCTCGCTGTCGCTTTCGCTCGCCATCATCGTCGTCGTCGTCGTCGTCGCCGTCGTCGTCGTCGTCGCCGTCGTCGTCGTCGTCGTGGTCGGTCCCCTGTCCGTCCCTCTTGGGGTCGGGTTGCCGCCGATCAGCGTTGCCGCTGGCCAGGCCGACGGTCCGCGGCCGCCCCGCCGCTTGCCGGGGCCCGGCCTGCGGGGAAGAAAGATGTTTCCCCCCAAAGGGTTACCATCGAACATGAAGTGGGCGGGTATCAAGGGTTCGGGGTAATACACGTTGACGGACACTCGAGCATATATGAGCGAACGGTCTCAAACTGATTGTTGTTGTTGTTGTTGTTGTTGTTGCTCTTGATGTTTTTGTTGCTGTTGTTGGTGCTGGTGGTGATGATGATGATGATGATGACGATGATGATGTCGTTGTTGTTGTTGTCGTTATTGTTGTTATTGTTTTTGTCATTGTTGTTGTTGTGGTCGTCGTCGTCGTCGTTGTTGTTGGTGGATGAGGATGATAATGATGATAATGATGATGATGATGATGATGATGATGATGATGCTGTTGTTGTTGTCGATGTTGCTGCAGCTGCTGCTGCTGTTGTTGTTGTTGTTGTGTTGTTGTTGTTGTTGTTGTTGTTGTTGTTGTTCCCTACCTAGGCTCAGCCTAGAAGGGTTCTTACTGTGTTTGCTGAAGGGTCCGGGCAGTGGAACCCGCCCCGGGCGGTTCCCCCAGGATCCGCCCCGCGGTTCCCCCAGTTACGTCCCCTTAGCTTAGCGTTGCTTATCTCATCTTAGCTTAGCCTAGCTTAACTCAGCTTAGCTTAGCTTAGCTTAGCCTAGCTTAGCTTAGCTTAGCTTAGCTTAGCTTAGCTTAGCTTAGCCTAGCCTAGCCTAGCCTAGCTTAGCTTAGCTTAGCTTAGCTTAGCTTAGCTTAGCTTAGCTTAGCTTAACTTCGCCTGGCCTAGCCTAGCCTAGCTTAGCTTAGCTTAGCTGAGCCTATATTAACTTAGCCTAGCCTAGCTTAGCTTAGCTTAGCTCAGCTTAGCTTAGCTTAGCTTAGCTTAGCGCAGCGCAGCGCAGCATTAGCATAGCATAGTATAGCGTAGCATAGCATATCATATCATAACATCGCATATCATAGCATAGCATAGCGCAGCATAGCCTAGCATAGCATAGCATAGCGCAGTATAGCATAGCATAGCATTGCATAGCGCAGCATAGCGCAGCATATCATATATGTAGATGTAGATGTAGATGTAGGTGTAGATGTAGGTGTATATGTAGATGTAGATTTGAGTCTCGCTGTTTATGTTGATGCAGATGTAGAGACAGGTGTAGATGTTAATGTAGCTGTCGGTGTATATGTAGATGTTGCTTTCCTAGATGCTCCAACTCCTAGGTAGGGTCGCACTGGGATTGTTGTTGTTGTGGTTGTTGTTGTTATTGTTGTTGTTGCTGCTGTTGTTGTTGTTGCTGTTGTTGATGTTGTTGTTGTTTTTCGGGAGGACCCCTCGCTTTTTCAGTCAAAGGGCCCCTCCTGGGGCTTGCACCCCGTTCTCTTCACCGTGGGAGCTCCTGCGCCAGAGAGACGACCATCGGGCCGGGAGGGCGGGGTCGTATCTTACTTTTGCCGCGCATGCCAAAGGTGCTTCTTGCACAGTCGCACCCTGCATCTTCGCATGGGGGCTCCGAGGGGCACCCCCGCGCCAGCGCCGCCGCGGCGCCGCGCCCCGCGCCGCACAGCGGGGGCGGGCCCTGGCGCGCCACCACTCCGCCCCGACCGGCGCGGAGAGCGCGGCGCGCGGAGAGAGCCGCGCGCCGCAGCGCTCGGGAGGGAGGAGGATCATCTTTCCCCTTGCGGGGGCCCCGCGTCGGAGGCCTGGCATCGCCCGCTCTTCGCCGACGGGCGGGCCCCCTGCCGCCCGGGCGCGCGCGCGGGCCCGCTGCCGGCGGGCCCGTCGCAGGCCTGTCTGTCGGCGCCAGGGCACTCCGGCGGGGGGACCGGCCGGCTCCCGCGGATCTATCCGGCTGGCCCGGATGTAGGAGCACGCGGGGCCACGCGGCGAAGGCCGTCAGGGTTCGCGCAGGGTCGGTGGTTCGACGGGGGGGGGCCTTCGTGAGGGGTGGGGCCCCGAGGATACCTGGGGACCCACTCGTGCTCGCGCCGCAGAAACGACCTGGCAGGAGGTTTTCGGTCGCTGTCGGCCTCGGGGGGCCCTCGCTGGGCCCCAGGGCCGTAAAAGAACAACTCGGGATACCAGAAATCGCCGTGGGGAAAGGGTCGGGACTTCCAGGGGCCTCGTGTTGAGAAGAGCGATTCGGCGCATGCTTGGGGCCTGGGTTGAATCTGCACTAGTCAGGGCCTGCTCGCCTCATGGCTCCATGTCTCAGCCAATCGCCCTCTGATTCTCTCTGGCCTGCCTGGGTTCGGGCGCGCAGAGCCGATTCCCCCCTCTCCTATCCCTCCGCTGCCTGGGTTTGGGGGCCTCCTCCTCCTCCTCCTCCTCCTCCTCCTCCTCCTCCTCCTCCTCCTCCTCCTCCTCCTCCTCCTCCTCCTCCTCCTCCCCCTCCCCCCCTCCTCCCCCCCAGGTTCGCGACATGGGCCTGGCCTTGGCCTGGCCGGCTCTGACCCGGGTCAGCGCGCCCCCGCAGCCGGTGGAGGTAGAGCTTGCCTTCCCGAGACGGGTCGAGGCTGGCGTGCCCAGCGCCGGCACGGGCCGCGCTGTGCCGCTGACTCCAGCGGCGCCGCTCTGCCCGCGCCCGCCCCCGTCGGATGTCCGAGGCCCGGCCGCGCGCTCGTGTCCGGTGGCGCGGCGTGGCCCACGCCGGCAGGATGTAAAACGACGCGAAGATCGGGACAAAATCGGATCGGGATAACTCGAAATCTCTGAGAATCGGCGGGTTTGGAGGATGTATTGGGCGCCGCGGCCGCTCCAGAGCGTTCCGGAACGCTCTGAGAGCGCTCCGGAACGCTCTGGAGCGATTTATCCCGATCCCAGCCCTGTTTTAGGATGCCAGCCGCACCCGGGAGGCGCAGGTCCCCGTGAGCTCGGCAAGGCGGGTCGGGGCCGCGTCGCCGCCTGGCTGAGCAGCTCGTCGTGTCTACCCGCCGCCTGCAAGGGGCGGTCACGCCGCGGGGTCCGCGGGGTCCGTGCCAGGGACGGGGTCGAAGCCGTACGGAGGAGGGAGGGAGGCAGAGGTGGATCCACCAGGAGTGGCTCCTCCTCCGCCGCTCTCCCGTTGCTTCCCCTCTCCCTCCCTTCCTCCTCATCGCTCCCTCTTCCCTCCTCCCCTTCCCTCCTCCCTCCTCTTTTCCTCCTTCCTGCCCTCTCCGTCCTTCCCTCTATCCCTCCCCCCCTGTCTTCTCGCACCTTCTCGCCCCCTTCTCCCCCCCCCCCCTTTCGTTGTCCTTTGGTCTTCGGGTCATGACTCGGCTCTCCGGCGGCCGCTCGGGACGGTTCGGACATCCCTGGAACGCTTTCGGCGAGGCGCAGTCGTTGGAAGGCATCCCGAGGCTGGAAAGCCGCCAGAGCCGAAGGACGTTTTCGAAAGCCTCAGAACCTCGAGCCTCGAAGCCTCGCCCCTCCTTCCCTCCCTCCCCCCCCCACCCTCCGTAACCATTGTGGCTCAAGGCGGCGCTTCCTCTTGGGGAGCGCCGCCTTCCTGGCTGCCGGGGCGCTTTCATGGGGAGCGCCGCCTCCGGCGCGCTGGACCTGTCCCTGCTGGTGGGCACCTTCAAGGGCGACCTCAGCGAGAGGTCGAGGGAAGAATGACGACGACCATGGCCAAGATGTCGCGGGATCTTTGTCGGTGCCGATCTTGCAAGGCTTCGGGTTGCGCACAGGTAGCTCCCCTCAGGTATCCTCTGCTGATCTCAACAGGCCCCCCGCGTAGTCTCAGCTGGCTTAAACGGACCCTCCGAGAATTCCGAGGCGGTCTTGGCGCAAATTGAAGCCTTACCACGCCGGTCTCGGTCATGGTCCATGCTGGCCGTTGCCGATCCGCGATGATGATCCACAAATCGACGGGGACCAGGATGGACGGTGACCAAGGTCGACCCCGACGTTTCTGCTCTCAGTACTGGTCGTGGTTCTCGCTCTCTTCTCCAACAGGTATGACATCGTCGACCAGCTGGGCAGCGGAGCCCAGGGCGCCGCCTACAAGGTGAAGTGCAAGGTGGACGGCGCCGAGTATCCAGGGCGCCTGCGGCGAACCGCCGCTGCACCTGTCTTGGCACATGCGCTGCGTCAGAGCTTGTCAAAGCTATTCGAGAAGCTGAGTTCCTCCAGCCGTGGTGGAACGCCATGGGGGAAGCCTTGGAGAAGGGAGAGAGAGAGAGAGAGAGACAGAGAAAGAGAGACAGAGAGCGAGAGAGAACAGCAACAACAAAAGAGCGAGAGAGAGCGAGAGAGGGAGGAGGAGGAGGAGGAGGAGGAGGAGGAGGAGGAGGAGGAGGAGGAGGAACATGAGGAGGAGGAGGAGGAGGAGGAGGAGGCGGAGGAGAAGGAGGAGGCGGAGGAGAGAGGGAGAACAATGATGAGGAGGATGGGGATGGTGATGGGGATGGGCATGAGGAGGATGATGAGGATGAAGTTGAATATGATGATGATGCTAATTATGATGATGCAGCTGATGCTGATACTGATGCTGATGATGATGATGATGATGATGATGATGCTGATTGTGCTGATGATTATGCTGCTGATGATGACGATGATGATGATGCTGACGATGGTTATGGTGCTGAGAATGATGACGGTGGTGATGATGATGTCAATGCTGATACTGATGCTAGTGGTGATGATGATGCTGATGATGGTGATGGTGATGATGATTACGACGACGAGGATAATAATGACGATGCTGCTGCTGCTGCTGCTGCTGATGATGATGATGATGATGATGATGATGATGATGATGATTATGTTGATGACGATGCTGATGATGATGCTGCTGATGCTGAAGATGGTGATTATGCTGATGAGGATGCTGGTGATGATGCTGCTGATGATGATGACGATTATCATTTTGATGCTGTTGCTGAGGATGATGGTGATTTTCATGACGATGATGATGAGGATGATTTTGATTCTGATGGAGGTGACGATGACGATGCTGATGATGCTGATGATGATGGTGATGATGATGATCATGCTGCTTCTGCTGCTGCTGTTGCTGCTTCTGCTGCTGCTGATGAGAAGGAAGAGGATGATGCTGCTGATGATGATGATGATGATGATGATGATGATGATGACGACGACGACGACGACGCAGGCGGATGAGGAGGAGGAGGATGAGGCAAAGGAGGAGGTCGCAGTGGCGGTACAGTGAGCACCAGCCGTGAGAACCTATGGGCACCTGATCTAAGCTACGTGCGAGGAGGAAGAGGCGGCGGCTGAGGATGAGGAGGTGGAGGCGAGGGATGAAAATGATGAGGAGGTCAAGGATGTGGATGAGAATGAGCACGAGGATTGGGATGAGGATGATGCTGATGATGCTGATGATGCTGATGACGCTGATGATGGTGATGACGATGATGTTATTGATGATGATGATTATTGTAACGAAGACGACGCTGACGCCGCGGACAACGATGATGATGCTGCTGCTGGTGCCGATGATGATGACGATTGTATTGATGATGATGATGATGATGGCGATTTTGATGATGGGTGATGATGGTGATGATGCTGATGATGATGGTGTGCACGGGCATGATGCTAGTGATGATGCTGCTGATGATGATGATGTTGGTCGTTGTGATGATGCTAATGATTGTGGTGGTGGCGTTGGGTGGTGGTGGTGGTGACGATGACGACGATGAGGCGGCTGATGCCGATGATGATGACAATGTGGATGTTCATGATGATGATGATGGTGATGATGATGATGCTGATCATCACGACGATGGCGATGACGACGATGATGAGATTTGTGATGAGGATATTGATGAAGATGATGATGCTGCTGATGTTGATGATGATTCTGTTGATGGTGGTGAGGAGGTTGATGATGATGACTATGATGATGCTGGTACTCTTTCTGCTCACGGTGGTGGTGATGAATGTGGTGGTTTTGGTGTTGATGGTGGTGGTGATGGTGTTGGTGATGTTGATTGTGATGATCATGATGCTGACGCTGATGATGACGATGATGATGACGGCGGTGATGATGATGACGATGATGCTGATGCTGATGATACTCATCCTGCTGATGATGATTATGATGCCGATGTTGATCACGATGTTTATGCATATGATGGTGGTGATGGTGATGAAGAACCTGATTCTGATTCTGATAGTGATGCGGATCATGATGCATCTGATCATGATGCTTCTGCTGCTGCTGTCGCTGATGATGATGATGATGCTGCTGATGATGATGATTTCATGATGTTCTGCTGATGCTGATGCTGATGCTCAGGATGATGATGACGATGATGATGATGGTGATGATGCTGCTGCTGATGATGATGATCATGCTGATCATGATTATGATGGTGATGGTGATGGTGGTGGTGGTGATGATGCTGATGATGATCATGGTGGTGGTGGTGATCATGATGATGATAGTGACGGTGAAGATGATGGTGGTGACGATGATGACGATGATGATGATGATGATGCTGCTGCTGATGCTGCTGCTGCTGGTGATGATGATGATGATGATGATGATGATGATGATGATGATGATGATGATGATGATGATGATGATGATGATGACGATGGCGATGACGATGACGATGACGACGACGACGTGGCGGAGCAGGGCTGGGAGATGCCGTAGCAGCAGGAGCAGCAGTATTGCCGACGGTGTTCGCAGGGCAGCAGGGGGAGAGGTGGGGGCGGGGGCGAGGATGGCGGAAGAGGAGGAGGAGGAGGAGGAGGAGGAGGAGGAGGAGGAGGAGGAGGAGAGGAGGAGGAGGAGGAGGGGGAGGAATAAGAAGAACCGGAGGAGGAGGAGGAGGAAGAGGAGGAGGAGAAGGAGGAGGAGGAGGAGGAGGAGGAGGAAGAGGACGAGGAGGAGGAGGAGGAGGAGGAGGAGGAGGAGGAGGCGGAGGAGGCAGAGGATGACGAGGCGGAAGATGAGAAGGAGGCCTCCAGGGTACCTCTTGGGGCCTCCTGGGAGCTGCTTAGGCACCCCTTGGGTCCTTTCAGGAGCCTCTTGGGAGCCACCTGGGGCCTCTTTGGGGCCTCTGGGGGCCTCTAAGGGGCCTCTTGGCCTTTGGAGGCCGTCTTGGTCGCCTTTCTGGAGCGTCATGGGTCTCTGTTTGGTCACTTCTGGGGTCTCTCGGAGGTCTGTGGGGCAGTCTTGGGGCAGTCGTGGGGGCCTCTTGGGCCGTTCTGGGGCCCTCTTGGCCCGTCTGGTGGCCCTCTTGGAGGCTTCTGTGGCTGTCTTGCGGCTGTCCTGGGAGCGTCTGGGGCGTTCTTCGGCTGTCGGAAGCCCGAACGGCGAGACCGCGAACACTGTTGAACAGCCCAGGGAACGTGATGGATTTCGGCCACCTGGGGATTCTCTTCGAGCCCTGTTGGGGCGTCTTGGGAGCCTCGTCTGCCGTCGGGGTGGTAAACTGGGCAGTCTTGAGGTCATGCCCAGGACCGTCTTGGTGGCATCTCGGGACCTCTTGGTGCCATCTTGGCCGTCTTGAAGGCTTTTTTTGGACCGTCTTGGGTGCCCCCTTGGCCGTCTTTCGGGGCCCCTCTTGGGGCCACCTTGGGCAGGAGAGCAGACGGAGCGCCGCCCGCCCAATTGTGTTCTTACCCGCGCGGCGGGCTGTACCGGGCGAGGCTACACTACGACTTGTGGGTTGTGGGCCCCGCGGTGTTTAAGACGGCCCAAGGAGCCTCAATATGCCCAGTGGGGCCCAAGAAGGGGGCCCCGAACCGACAACTCGAGCTTTCCGCTCCAACGTGCCCCCAGGAGGCTCCAAGATGCCTTGTAAGGATTTGAAAGGGTTGGCGTCCAGCACGGCGGCAGCCCCTCTTGCAAGCAACAGGGGGCGGCGGATCGAAGACGCCTGCGGCGAGCCACCGCCGCCCCCTGCCGTCTGGAGCGCCCATTCGGCCAAACGTTGGGCCGACGTTTTTCCAAGCTCTTGGGATACGTGTTCATCCAGCTTTTGTTGAGATCCTTGGGGGAAGGCCGGTGGGAGGAATGGGAGGATGACGAGAGGGAGGAGGAGGATGAGGAGGAGAAGGAGCAGGAGGAGGAAGAGGAGGAGGAGGAGGAGGAGGAGGAAGAGGACGAGGAGGAGGAGGAGGAGGAGGAGGAGGAGGAGGAGGAAGACTAGTGTAAACTCAAGAGTCATCAGCGATGTTGGAATAAACCCTCCCTCCAAGCTCCCTCTTCATAGGCCATTGCAAGGGTTCATTTCCACTGAGGGAACTGCTCCGTTGGAAGACAACCGTTTGAAGACCCTGATGCATGTCAAGCTATCTTTCTCGGGATCCCGACGCTACGGATCAACCTGGTTGCTGCGTCTTGATGGCCCAGAATCGTGCCGCAACGCCATGCTTGGGATTTCAACACCGCGAGTCAACGTAACTGTTGTGCCCTCATAAGCCTGAATCTTTCCAGCAACCATTTCTGGTACGCTGATCGTGGGACACCGTGGAACTTTTGCAAGCTTTTCGGGAGAATGTGCGTGGCGCTAAGGCGAGAGCCACATTTTGAAATGGAGCTGCCCCCAATCAGTGAACCTCTTTCAAATTTCTAAAACGAATGTGCGCGGCGCTAAGGCGAGAGTCACATTTTTGAAAAGGGACCGCCCTCAATCCGTGAAGCTCTTGCACATGTTTAAACGAATGTGCGCGGCGCTAGGGCGAGAGCCACATTTTGACAACCACCCGCCCTTACACAGTGACATTCTTGCATTTTTCCCCCCCATCCTGTGGTGTTGCGACCTCGTTTTGAAGAGACAGCGCCCCGCGTTCCTCACCTCACCTCACTTCACCTTACCTCACCTCCCGCGCTCCTTCCCCTCCTCCCTCCCTGCCTCTGCCCTCCGCATGTCTATGTTTCGGCACACCCTCACTCGTTTCGTGGCCCCATAGGGAGCTCCACCGAAGGGCCCCAGTGGCAGGTTTCGAATGCGACCCCCCGCCCATTTCGGCACACCCCTCACACGATCCGTGGCCCCATCGGGAGCTCCACTGACTGCCCCAGTGGCAGGGTTCGCATGCGTCCCCCCGCCCATTTCGGCACAGCCCTCACACGTTTCGTGGCCGCGTAGGGAGCTCCACAGAAGGCCCCAGTGGCAGGATTCGCATGCGCCCCCCCGCTCATTTCGGCACACCCCTCACACGCTTCGTGGCCCCGTCGGGAGCTCCACCGAAGGCCCCAATGGCAGGGTTCGCATGCGTCCCCCCGCCCATTTCAGCACACCCCTCACACATTTCGTTGCCCCACAGGGAGCTCCACCGAAAAACCCCAGTGGCAGGGTTCGCATGCGAGCCCCGCCCATTTCGGCACACCTCTCACAGGGTTCGCATGCGTCCCCCCGCCCAATTCGGCACACCCCTCACACGCTTTGTTGCCCCATACGGGGCTCCACCGAAGGCCCCAGTGGCAGGGTTCGCATGCGCCCCCCCGCCCATTTCGCACAGCCCTCACACGTTTCGTGGCCCCGTAAGGAGCTCCACCGAAGGCCTCCGTGGCAGGGTTCGCATGCGTCCCCCCGCCCATTTCGGCACACCCCTCACACGCTTCGTGGCTCCATAGGGAGCTCCACCGAAGGCCACAGTGGCAGGGTTCGCATGCGTCCCCCCGCCCAATTCGGCACACCCCTCACACGCTTCGTGGCCCCGTCGGGAGCTCCACCGCACCCAATTCGGCACACCCCTGACACGGTTCGTTGTCCCATACGGAGCTCCACCGAAAGCGGTCTCACAATGCGGTACTCTCATCTGCATATGGTTGGGTCTTTCGCCTGGCTAATTGCAAAGAGTGTGCGCGGCGCTAAGGCGAGAGCGACATTTTGGAAACGACCCGCCCTCCATCTTTGAATTGTTGTCAATGTTTAAGCTTCAGGGCCACCTTGGAGCCATCTTGGGCCGTCTTGGGGGCCTCCTGGCCCGTCTGACGCTGTCGGAAGTCGTCTTGGGGGCCTCTCTGGTCCCACGTCGGGCCCTCTGGGGTGCCCCAGGGCCGTCTTGGAGGCCGTCTGGGGCGTCTTGGAGGCCTCTTGGGACGTCTTGGGGCCCTCTTGGGACCGTCTTGGGGGCCTCTTGGGCCGTTCTGGGGCCTTCTTGGAGGCCTCTTCGGGGGATTTTGGGGCGATCTTTAGAGGCTCTTGGGCTGTCTCGGGCCGTCTGAAGGCCGAACACAAGCAAACGCCAAAATCCTTTCAACACCGATGGAAATCAATGATTTGGCCTCTTGGGGCCTTCCTGGAGGCCCTCTTGGGAGCCTCCTGGGCCGTCCTGGCGACCACTGGGACCGTCTTGGCGGCCTCTTGAAGGCCGTCTTGGGCCGTCTTGGGCCGTCCTGAAGGCTTCTGGGGCGAACTCGGAGGCAGACGCTCCTTCCCCGAGAGCGCGATGTTTTGGGCTGCCCTGGGCGACGCAGCCGTTCTTGGAGACGTGGGCGGCGCAGCGGGCGGGCCACTCCGGGTGGCCGGGGCGGGACGCGCGGAGGCCCCGGGGGGGACGCGTGAAAGCAATCGCCAGCACCAGACCACTGGAATCCAGCACGCTGGGCACCTCTGTGGCAAGATCACAGGGGGGCGGCGGATCGAAGACGCCTACGGCGAATCACCGCCGCCCCCTGCCTTTTGGGGAGCGCCTATGTGGCCGAACGTTGGGCAACGTTTGGCCACGCTATTGGATCATGGGCAAAGTGTGGCAATCGTGGGCAAGCTTCGAGGCGATCTCGGCCGTCTTGGGGGCCATCGTAGGCCCTTGTGGGGCGGACGGGCAACCACCTGGTCATCGCGAGCAGCCCTCCGGGTGGCTGGCGCGTTGGGCCGAAGCCCCAGGGGGAGTCAGAAAAAATGTCAATCTCTGAAAAGTTTAGCACGCCAGGCACTTCTGTGGCAAGATCACAGGGGGCGGCGGATCGAATACGCCTACGGCGAATCACCGCCGCCCCCTGCCTTTTGGGAAGCGCCTGCGTGGCCGAACGTTGAGGCCCGACCTGCCAAGCTATCGGACCATGTGTTCCCCGAATCGGGATGGTCGAAGACGCCTACGGCGAATCACCGCCGCCCCCTGCCTTTTTGGAAGCGCCTATGTGGCCGAACGTTGAGGCCAGACCTGCCAAGCTATCGGACCACGTGTTCCCCGAATCGGTTTGGAAAGCCTTCGGGGAACACGTGGGCATCTTGAAGGTCATCTTGGCCGTCTTGGAGGCCTCTTGGGCAAGCTTTGGGCGATCTTTGGGGCTTTTTGGGCCGTCTCGGGCCAGCTTCGAGCCAACTTCGGCCATCTTGGTGGGTTCCTGGCACGTCTGAAGCCGTCGGAAGCCGTTTGGGGGGCCTCTATGGGCCGACTTGGGGCCCGCTTGGAATGCTCCAGGGCCGTCTTGGAGGCCATCTTGGGCGTCTTGGAGGCCATCTTGGGCGTGTTGGAGGCCTCTTGGGCCCTCTTGGGGCCCTCTAGGGGCCATCTTGGAGGCCACTTGGGCCATCATGGGGCTCTCTTGGGGGCCTCTTGGGCGATCTTGGGGGCTTCTTGGGCCGTCTTGAGCCGTCGGAGAGCCGAAAAGGCGCAAATGCCAAAATCCTTCAAAAACCAAGGGAAAATCAATGATTTTGGCCTCTTCGGACTCTCCTGGAGGACCTCTTGGAGGCCTCTTGGGCCGTCTGGGAGGCCTCTGGGGGGCCTCTTGGGCCGTCTTGGGCCGTCTTGGACTCTTCTTGGAGTCTTTGGAATCTTGGGTCTTGGACATCTCGGGCGACTTGGAGGCCATCTTGGGCGTCTTGGAGGCCATCTTGGGCGTGTTGGAGGCCTCTTGGGCCCTCTTGGGGCCCTCTAGGGGCCATCTTGGAGGCCACTTGGGCCATCATGGGGCTCTCTTGGGGGCCTCTTGGGCGATCTTGGGGGCTTCTTGGGCCGTCTTGAGCCGTCGGAGAGCCGAAAAGGCGCAAATGCCAAAATCCTTCAAAACCATCAATGATTTTGGCCTCTTCGGCCTTCTTGGAGGAGGAAAAGGCCTTGGAGGCCAGGAGGCCATCTTGGGCGTGTTGGAGGCCTCTTGGGCCCTCTTGGGGCCCTCTAGGGGCCATCTTGGAGGCCACTTGGGCCATCATGGGGCTCTCTTGGGGGCCTCTTGGGCGATCTTGGGGGCTTCTTGGGCCGTCTCGAGCCGTCGGAGAGCCGAAAAGGCGCAAATGCCAAAATCCTTCAAAAACCAATGGAAAATCAATGATTTTGGCCTCTTCGGACTCTCCTGGAGGACCTCTTGAGGCCTCTTGGGCCGTCTGGGAGGCCTCTGGGGGGCCTCTTGGGCCGTCTTGGGCCATCTTGACGCTATCTTAGGCCGTCTTGGGTACATCTTGGGCCGTCTTGGAGGCATCTAAAGGCCATCTTAGCCGTCTTGGAGACCATCTTGGCCATCTTGGAGGCATCTTGGAGGCCAGTTCGAGCCATCTTGGAGGATTTTTTCCGGTCGTTGAGCACGTTTGGGGGCCTTCCGGGTGGCCGGCGGGTTCTGCCGGAGCCCACTGGGGAGTTCTTTTGGAAAAAGAACCAAAACCAAAACCTGAAACATCCAGCACGCCGTGCACCCCTGCAAGCAGGGGGCGGCGGATCCAGTTGGCCTTCGGCCCAACCTGCCACCGTGTCTGGTTTGCGCGCCAGGGGCCCCGAGGATGCCTGTCGCGGTCTTTCGGGATGCCTCCTGGGGGCCTCTTCGAAGCCTCCGAGCGTCTTTTCGGAGCCTCTTGGAAGCCTCTTGTGGGCGCCTCTGAGGGCCTCTTGAGGGTCTCTTGGCTGTCCCTCGGGGCATCTCGGGCGCTTTCGGGGGGCTCCTGGGGGACACGTCGGGTATGTCGGGGGCACTTGTTGGGAGGAGGTTCCCAGAGCCCCTTCGCCGCCCCTCGCTCTTGAGCCCTTTTTGGGGAGTCTTGCGGGCCTCTTGGGTCGTCTTGGGGGGCTCTCCTGGGGGACTCGTTGGGCCGTCTTCGTGCGATCTTCGGACCTCTTGGGCGCTTTTTGCGTTCTGGAGCCAGACTAGGCAAGAAGGCTACAATTTTTCATCCATTCAGAGTTTGACCTCTTGTGGCCCTCTTGTGGATCATCTTGGAGCCCTCTTGGTGCGTGTTGGAGGCCGTCTTGGGCTGTCTGTGCCGCATCGGGGCCTCTATGACCGTCCTGGAGCCATCTTGGGAGCCTCGTGGTCCGTCTTGGAACCTCTCTTGCAGTCGCACGACACACTCCAGGGGTCACGCGTCACGCCCCAAGAAATCCGTTAGTTGGGTGTCTGGGCCCCCCCAAAGGGCATTCAGACAAGTCAGCACAGAAAGCCCGAAGGAACCCGAGGACACTCCACTCAGTGCCCAAGGCACGTTGGCGGATGTGGCCAAGAAAACCTTTGGAGACAAGGCGGATCTGCTGAAGGAATTCGACCACATGAAAGAGATGCGGCACCCCAACTGCACCAAGGTGATCGAGATGATCGTGGCCAGAGAGCTCGTCGATGGCGACTGGAAGGAACAGCTGTTCGTGATCTCGGAGCTAGCCAGGGGCAGCGACCTTCACAAGTACGTGCTCAAGATGAGCGACTATCAGAGGCGCCGCCACCCAGAGGTCACTGCGCGGGGGCCCGAGGTCACCGAGGAGTGGTGTGCTGGCGTCTACCGGCAGGCGATGGAGGGCGTCGCCTACATGCACTCGAAAGACATCGTGCACAACGACCTCAAGCCAGACAACATACTGATCATGGACATGTTTGACCCCGCCAATCCAAATCGGGTGCCGGCCGTGGCGATCAACGATTTCGGCTGTGCCACCAGGTTGCATGTGGCCAGCTCCTCTACAATCATCGGGGACCCGCGCTACCAGTCGCCAGAGTCTTGGCGGCTATGCTTCAAGTACATGGAGCACAAGGCTACCCGCGACAAACTGGACGGCAAGACCGACGTGTGGTCGATGGGTGCCACCCTCTACGAACTGCTGAGCGGGGGCATCATCCCGTTCATCTACAGGCCCTGCACTCTCAGCGACATCGACGAGGAGGTCTTCAGCAGCCTCGGCAAGGCGGTGACCGAGGAACCCGTCCAGATCAGAGAGCATTTCGACAGCCTCTCTGCACAGGGCGAGAACCTCCTCCGCAGCATGCTCACGAAGGACAGCGCCGAGCGGCCGTCCGCCGCGGATGTCCTAAGGCACGAGTGGTTCAGCATCCGGGGCAAGCCCATTAGCTCCGAGTCTCTGCAGAGGCTCCGGCTGAAGGCCGTGAAGGGCAGGGCCCACGCCATGCTGCTGAACGCGGTGTCTCTCAAGCTCCAGCGCGACCACTTCCAGGCCTGCATGGGCGTCTTCAAGGACATCCAGCTGGAGCAGAACGGCCAGGTCTCGGCAACGCGCAGAGGGGGGTAGGGGGAGGGGGGAAGGCTTCTTAGAAGCACCCCTGCTTCTTAGAAGGCGCGGGCCTTCTCTATAGACGTACGGCCCAGGCCTTCTAAGAAGCAGGGTGCTTCTAAGAAGCCTTCCCCCCTCCCCCTACCCCCTTTTGCGCGCCGCCAAAGGTCACCCTGGAGGAGTTCAAGGCCGCCGTGGAGAAGCTGCGGCTGGCGGCGCCCGCGGAGCCGCCCGAGACGGACGACGCGGCCCAGTGCGACGACGCGGAGCCTCGCGGCTCCCGGACCGACCTGCTGTCGGACCCGGAGGCGCTGTTCCGGCAGGCGGACGTCGACCAGAGTGAGACCCTTGACTTCAACGAGTTCGTGGCGGTGACCTTCGACTGGTCGTCGCTGGACGTGGGCACCATGACCGCGACGCTGCAGAAGCTCATCAACGACCTGGACAGGGACGACGACGGGCAGCTCAGCCAGGACGAGTTCAACAAAGCCTTCCACGGGGCGCTGGGCAGAGATGAGCTGAAGCGGGTCTTCAGCCACATAGACCAGAACGGGGACGGCGCCGTCGGCAAGGAGGAATTGAGGAGATTCTTGTTTGAGCCGGCGAGCAAGGAGGAGCTGAGCAGGCTCGCCGCAGTGCCGCCGATAGGGAGGTCCTGGTCGGAGTTGTCGATCGCACCGGCGGGGCCCTGTCTGCCGGGGTCGTGCTCCCCAGAGTGCTTCGGGGCCGTGCTCCCGCTGGCGGCGTGTCTCGGCGTCTGCCTGGCAGGGGTTCTGAGGATCTGCTGACGCCGTGGGCCGGCCAAGCTGGCGAGGTCTTCGCACGATTCGTGGTGTTGTGTTGTGGACGTGGGAGGTGGGAGGTGGAGACCCTGTTGCCCTCGCGGGCATGATTTTGTAGTGGTTTCGGGCAGCCTCCCTCACCGTGGTGCGTATCTCGTCAGAGGGCTGCTGGCGACGCGCGAATCGGTGCCAGTTTCACGTCAGCCGCAGGGTGCTTCCTCCCGCTTTCCTCCTCCCTCTTTCCCCCTCTTCCCTTGCTCCCCCCTCTCTCCCATGAGGCTCCTGGGGGACGCTTCGAAGCCCCCGAGAGCAGCTCCAGCTTCTCTGGAAGAAGCTCCAGAGGTTCTGGGAGATTCCTCGGAGCCTCTGGGAGGTGCCTCAGAGCCTCTGGGAGTCGCCCCAGGGCTTCCTGGGAGAGGCTTCAGAGCCTTTTTTTTTTTTTTTTTCTCTCTCTCTCTCTCTCTTTGTCTCTCTGTCTCTCCCTCTCAGTTTCTCGCCTCTTACTCTAACTCTTTGGTTTGTTTTCCCTCTCTTACTCTCTTCCTCTTTTGTTTGTTTTCCCTCTTTTTCTCTCTTCTCATCATTTTCCTCCTCCTCCTCATCCTCCTCGTTCTCCTCCTCTTTCTTCGTTTGTCAGGTTCATGTTGTTATGTCTTCTTCTCCACTTCCTCGTTCTCCTCGGCTACCAGTTCGTCAGCTCCCGTGGCTACTGTGTCCAGCAAGCCCGAGGAGGGGCACAGGGCTTTCACCCTGCCTCGGGGCACAACGCAGCCGCCGAAGGCCCTTTTCTGTGTTTTGATTGCACTCTGGTGGCAGCTGCGCAGCCCGCCAGTCCCCGACTCGGCGAGCCCGCTGGAAACGGCAGGTTGCTCGGAGTTGAGTCGGGGGAGGGCCACGGCCCGTGAGAATCCCTTAAAAAGCCGAGTGCCAGCCGCGAGCAGGCGTCCCCCTGGCTGGTGGCACCCGATGCGGCCAAGGGTGTCCGCGCCTTCCGCAGGTCCCTCGCTTCCTCGGCGGAGTTCGTTCGGCTTGCGTCTCCTCGTCCTGCTCCTGCTGGTACCTGCTCCCCACCCTTCTCATGCCAACGTCTCGGTACCGTGTAACCGATCCCCATCCCCGTCCCCATGCCCTTCGAGACCCCCACCAAATCACCACCCCGGTTTGGGGATACACCCCTCGAGACCCGAAGGGAACGACCCATGTCCCCGTCTAGGGGGGTGAATCGGCCAGTGGGGCCCAGGCCACGCCGCTGGGGATGAGGAGATCGGTTAAACGATACTCATCATCGGCTCCTGCCCCATCCCCTCCTCATGGGGGGGCCAGGGTCCCGCTCCCTGTCCCCACAGACCTTGCCGTACTTGCCCACGACTCTCTCACGTGGCAGGAGTGCCTCGTGACAGAATTGCGATTGTGGTCCTCTCATGGTCCGTCTGCTCCGGTGCCATGCCATGCCCGCCCAGTTAGCTTGCGTTGCGGGGAAAAGGAAGCTGATGGTTACGAGGAGGAAGAATGCGTAGCTACGGCCACCGCGCGGATGTGGACGAGAACGTCACGGCCACAATGGCGTTAGATTCCTCAGCGTCGCTTGCCATCTGCTAGACACGCTGGTTTCGAACATGCCATGACCCAAAGGATGGCAAGTCCCCTCCTCCTCCTGCTCCTCCTCCTCCTCCTCACCCTCCTCCCCACATCTTCCACTCGGGGAGGGTGGTGAGGATGAGGGGGTGGCAGAGGTTCTGGAGAAGGATTAAGTAACGCGCAGGAGGAGGAGGCTTGGGGGTGGAGGAGGAAGAGGAGGGATGGCGAGGACGGAACGCATGTTGACGACTATGCCGATGATGTCAGTGGTGGTTATGATGATGGCGATGAGCGCGATGCTGATGTATTTTAGCTTGGTTTTGGTGATGCTGACAGCGACGACGACGCCGACAGTGATTACGGTGGCGATGACCACGCCGACGAGGATGATGACGACGACGACGGCCACGACGATGATGGTGACGACGACGACGACTACTATCATGATGGCGGTTATGAGGATGCGGCTGATGATCATGACGATGGTAGTGATAATGATGCTGAGCAGGTGTGTTGTGATTCGGATCATGCCTACGATGAGGAAGTAGAGGATCAAAGGGTTTGGGGAGACTGTTGGGCATGGGACATCGGAAGGATTAGCGGGAGACGGGGAACTGGGAGGGGTGGCAGGAAATGGGGAAAAGAAGTGGGGCGGACGGACAACTGATTTTGCTGAGGAGGAGGAGCCAGTTGGACAGGAGAAGTAGGATCATTCTGATGATGATGCTGATGATGATGATGATGAGGAGGAGGAGGAGGAGGAGGAGCAGGAGGAGGAGGAGGAGGAGGAGGAGGAGGAGAAGAAGGAACATGCCGAAGCGCGAAATGAGCAGGGACCAGATGATTTTGATGATGCAGAGGATGGGGCGAATAGGGAGAAAGGACGGAGGGAGTGTAGCTGCTTGACAGTTGGGGATGGATAAGGAAGGGGTGTCTGGCGAAAAGAAGGAGGACGAGGAGGAGTTGGAGGACGACGAGGATCAGGAGGGTGATATAGAGATGAGAGAACCATCACGACGAGGATGAGGAGAACGAGGATGAAGATGAGGAGTATGATAATGCTGATGATGATGCTGATGCTGATGCTGATGCTGATGGATGATGATGATGATGATGATGATGATGATGATGATGATGATGATGATCATGATGATGGTGATGAGGATGATGATGAAGACGAGGAGGAGGAGGAGGAGAGGAGGAGGAGGAGGAGGGAGGGGGAGTAGTAGGAGGAGGAGGAGGAGGTGGATGATGAAAGGTGAGGATGAGGATGAGGATGATGATGGGGATGCGGATGAGGATGAGGATGAGGAGGATGAGCAGGAGAAGGAGGAGCACAAGGAGGAGGAGGAGGAGGAGGAGGAGGGGGAGGAGGAGGAGGAGGAGGAGGAGGAGGAGGAGGAGTTTATGGATCGAGGGATGCAGGGAGCGCGGGAGGGAGGCACAAGGAGCGAGGGAAAGGAGGACGGGAGGAGTGAGCGGGGAGGGAGGCGGGAGAGCAGTGGAGGAGGGTACGCGGAGGTACGCGCACGGGACAGGAGCACAACACTGGAGCAGCAATGACGAGCGAGGGCAGGACCGCTCTCACGAAGCCATCGATATCTGCGTTGGGGGTGCTGCTAGCTCCGCCTTTCCCTCCTGCTCCTTCTCCTTCTTGCTTCCTTGTTTCCGCCCGGTCCTTCCCTTCCTCCTTCACATTCTTTCCCTGCCTCCTCCCCTCTTTTTTCCGCCTTGTATGTCCTTCCTTCTGCTCTTCCTTCCTTCTCTCCAGAACTGCTTGCTTGCTTCCTTCTTTTGCTCCCTCCTTCCCTGCGTTCCCTTTCTTTCCTCCTTCTTCCCTTCCTTCATTAGTCCTCTGACGTGCTTCCCACATCCTCCCGGGCTCAGCGCGGTCCAGAGGGGACCGGAGAAGACCGAAGGTGCTCGGAGGCGTCAGCACGTCGCTCCTCTTCTCGGCGTTCGAGTCCTGGATGGTCTCCGAGCACCGGAAGAAGGGCTTCCCAGAGGAGCCCGTGGGGGTCACGAGGGCCTCCTCCTCCTCCTCCTCCGCCTCCTCCGCCTCCTCCTCCTCCTCCTCCTCCTCCTCCTCCTGAGCAGTCACTGACCGTGCGGACAGTCAGCCTCTCCCCTCCTCGTGTCTCCCTCCTCCTCGTCTTCCCCCTCTCCCTCTGCCTCCCAGTTCTCCTCCTGCCAGTTCTCCTCACGACTGTTGTGCCCTGATCTTTCCCTCCTCGTCCTTTATTGCTCTCGCTCATTTTCTCCCTGGCCTCCGTGCCCTCGAGGGTGCCAGGCACTCCGCGTGGTAGATGGGAGCTCTCCCCTTGCATTGTGTAGATGGGAGCTTCCCCCCGAATTGTCATCTTAGCCCTCGCTCTCAGTCTGTACGCGAGTCAGCCTCGCCGACGCCGAACACTGCTTGGGGCTCGGACCCCAACCGCCTTCTCGCCAGGAAACCTAACGAACCAGCGAGACCTGGATGAAGAAAGCCTATGGGACCACGAAGCGTGTGAGGGGTTGCAGGGGATGGGAGAAGCGGGAGGAGCGGGGGGAGGGAGGAAGGAAGGAAGGCACGAGGAAGGAAGGAGGCAGGAGGAACGCGGGGCGCCGTCTCTTCAAAACGAGGGCCCAGCACCACAGGATTGTTGGGACAAATCCTCCCTGGCCTCCGTGGATGGCCACACGTGGACGCCCTGCGCGGCCTCGGGCAGCTGCGCTGAACGCACTGTGCTCGCGGCTTAACAGACTTCTGGGCACGGCCCCACGGCGCCAAGAGCGGGGCGTCAGTTGGGAGGCCTTTCTCGGGTGAGAAATCAGCGTCGATCAGCGACGATCAGCGTCTGGGAGTCGGTGAGATGGCGCCGATTTAGCGGCGGTTAGCGTCGATTTAGCATCGATTTCGCGTCGGCCAGCGTCGATTTAGCGTCGACAAGCGTCCATTCACAAGGGCCGACAAGATGGCATGGGATGCTCCCATGAGTTGCCACCGGAGGAGGGCCCGGCGCGCTGCAGCGCGAGCGTGGGAGCTGAGCCCGTCTGTGGGAGGAGCGCGCCCCCCCCCACCCCCCCCGGAAGTGGGAAATCCGCCCTCTGAGGCCACCGGTTCGGCTGGAGCTTCTCGTCTGGCCCTGGAGCACGCGGAGGGCCGCGCGCTCCGCGCGCACGGCCTGCGCCTGGAGCGCCCGCTGCCTTGGCGCGCGAGGGACGCGCCGCAGGCAGCCCGTCGGCCGCGCTGCCCTGGCGGAGCTGGGCGTGGGCGTGGGCGTGGGCTGGGGCGTGAGTGCGGACGTGGGCGTGGCTGTGGGCGTGGCGTGGGCGTGGGCGTGGGGTTTGAGTGCGGATGTGGGCGTGGCTGCGGGCGTGGGCGGCCCCAAAGCCACCTGGAGCGGTCCTTTTGCCTCCGCGCCTGCGCCGCGAGGCGAGCCGCATCTCCAGCCGGCCCGCGCCCGCGACCTGCACGGGCAGCACGGCCCCCGAGGGCGCCGGGCCGCGCGCGCCGGGCCCCGCGGGGCTCCGCAGCAGAAGGCTCTCGACACGGGCGCGAGAGGGGCCTCTTGCCGGAGTGGCCTCTGGCGCGGCGGCCCAAAGGGGGTCCCTCGAGGTCGCCGAGGGCGAGGCGGCAGCGGCGTCCTGCGCGTTCGTGCCCGGGCCCCCCCCTCCCCCCCGCGGCGCGGCCTCCAGCAAGCCGCGCGCCAGAGGTGACGAGCGAACAGCTCACACCCATACCCATGGGAGGGTCGAAAGGAGGGGAACCGGCTATGCGTATGGGTGCGAGTTGGCGGACCCTGGGGGAAGCTCCCGCTCGAGCGGGGACCCCCATCCGACAACACGCACCCATAGCCCCCTCCGTCCCCCCTATGGGTATGGGGTGCGTGTTGTTCGACCGTCAAAAGGGCACTCTTGCCCCCAGGG